TTATTACACCTTACACCTAAGCTGATTTCTGGAAGGGCTTTGAATCTTAAGTGCAAACCTATTCACCTTGCCCAGCTTTATAATGTTAAAAGTATGGCCATTCCTTTAATTAAATTTTCTCATGAATGCCATCTAATTTTTGGGTTTGGTATGTTGATTGAAAGTTCTTTTTTTCCCCCTCCCAGGTATTTCAAGGGAGTATTGTAAAAAGGCATCCACTTTGAAAGACTGTCTACATAGTCCTTAAAACAGGAACAATTCTAGTTCAGCTTTTATTGTGTTTGCATTTTGTGATTTGCAAAATGTGCCTTATTGAATAAAGAGATTGTGAATTAGCTGACTGGAAAAAATTGATTTAATAGGCAAGTACAATATAGCAAGCTGAGATAAGGTTTGCATGTTTTTACTTTTAATTCTCTAATGTTTGAGGTGTATACAATGCAGAAGAAAAGAGAAATGCTTAAGTACCCATGTATTATATGTTTTAGACAGACTGACCACAGATCTCTCTTACCCGGCATAAGGCCTTTGCCCGTAGAGGCAAGAACATGACGTATCATAGCGAAGTCCTGCAAGACTAGAAAGTTAGTAATCAATGGAAGGGGTTATCGATTTAGTTTTTTTTGTTTGTTTGGGGTTTTTTTGGAACTGGGGATCGAACTCAGGACCTTGTGCTTTCAAGGCAGGCAGTGCCACCACTGAGCTAAATCCTGGCCCTCGATTTAGTTGTTAGTTTAGGAGACATAAATCACATTGCAGTTTTTTATTAAAAATCTAGGTTATAATTTGTTTTTTTGGTGCTTTTGAGACAGGGTCATGTTATGAAGTTCAGGCTGGCCTTGAACTTTTACTATGTAGCCCAGGTTGGCTATGAACTCACAGCTATTCTCCTGCCTCAGCCTCCTGAATGCTGGGATTATAGGGGATGTGCTACCATGTTCAGCCAATGTTTAAAGTATTTGTTTTACTGTACTTGTTATTTTTTTTTCCATCCTCACCCACTACACCGTAATGTGATTACTTGCCAAGATTCTGCCAATGCTCTTATTGAAATAACTTGCCTAAGAGCGGCAATTAAAAGGCATTTCATGTACACTAAGCCAAATGAACTGAAAAATAGACTATGTCATTACTTATACATTTGTGCATTTAGTTTATGTTAGGTTCCTCCCCCTTCTGTTTTTGGGAAAGGATAGAATGAGTATAGTATTACTTTTACTGAAAAAAAAAAACACCTTTGTAGATTTTATTCTGCCACCATTGTTTTTGGTATCACATACATACCCACAGGCACCTGTATTCAAAATAGTTTTCAAGTTAATGAACACCCCAGAGAGTATAGAAGTCACAGGAGTCTGGCCAGAGTGTGAGGAGGCTCCACCAGTGGTGTTGGGGCTGATTCAGCCCTGATGCCTAGCCTTGGCTAGCTTTGCCCCTTGCCTTCCTCTTGGGCTGCCCCGTGACCCCAGCCTGGAACTCTGCCCAGGAACTGGAGTAGCATCGAGAGGGCACAGCCACCTTCAGCCCCTGGGGAGTTGAATTACTCTGCTCATTTTTTTCTCTATGAGGCAGACCAGCGAGCACTCTGCAAACTGTTGAGGAGCAATATTGTTCTCTAACTTCACCACCTGCCCCCCTCCCCCCTCCCAGGTCTCCTTCACCCTGACCTCTACTGAGGCACCCTGAACCTGGGCTTCTCTCAGGGAGAGAACTAGTTGGGCAAAGTTCACCCTCAGCCTTTATCTGTCTGCCTACTTCCAGCAGGTTTTTTTATTCAGCTAGCTTGGAGATTCAGTTAGAGCTGTATGCAGCCTTTAGAGGAGGTTTGAGAGAAAACTCCTGGCAGATGTCTGTTCTCATTTTAAATCCGAACCATATAAATGGCAGTCAGGGACATTTTGTGCTAATAGTACTATTGTTACTAAATAGTAGTGGGAATACCATAGCTGCAGTTTACTGTGTAACTTTAGGGACATTGTCTACATTTTCTCTGCTTCTCTTCTTATCTGAAAAATAGGGATGATCATTGTGCCTAGGGTGATTGTAAGGATGAAGTGAGTTGACACTCATATACCTCAGAACTGCACCTGGCACAGTGAGCACTGAGTAAGTGTTAATTGTATTGGGCTCTTATTGTCAAGCTCCTTGCTCCATATGTGCAATTTCCTTTAATCCTCCTGATGACCCTGGGAGGTGTAAGTTTGCTTATTGTATCTCATAGGTGATAAAACTGTGCTGCAGAGAGGTTTAATTCACTTGCTCAAGGTTACATATCTAGGCACTGATGGGTGCAGCGGCCTGTCTGTGGCTCTGTTCATATGACCTCCCTGCCAAGAATTTTAAGGAATAGCATTGTTTTCCACAAAACTTTGGATCATCTTCTCCAGTGGTCTACTTCCATGGCCACCCGATTGGCCTCTGTCTGCTGTGGCGATAGCCTTGTGGCGTGGGCAATGGGCTCCGTTCCTCAGCCCTGCACGTCACACTGTGCTTTCTTTCAGCCTTTCTGCATTGACCACTGAGAGATCCAAGGTGCCAGCAGCCGGACTGGAGTCACTCTCTGCTTCTCCTTTGTGCTCAGTGGCACCTGTCACTGGGCTTTCTGAAGAGCCCTGACTCCTTATTGTGTCCTGTGGGCTCATGCTGTCTGCCCTTAACGGGCTGTGGGCAGGGATTGAGGCCTGCAGCACTTCTGGCTTGCACCAGCCCCTTCTGACTACCCACCCAGCCCCTCACAGGGAAGCAAGCAGCACACTCTGTTTAGCTGATTGGTTGAAAAAATGAATTGAGATATTTGATACCTATAAATTTGGTCTTAAGGTGAGCCCATCAGTTTCATTCTATTTTAATTGAGATGAAATTCACATACTATAAAATTCACTGAGTCCATTATTTTAAATTGAAAATGCAATAACTCATTCTGTTTACTAGAATGTTTTAACTTTGTTCTGTTTGATTTTTTTTTTTATGATTTCTAAAAATGTGGTAGGTGGAAAGATTTTTAGATAGTGATTTCTTTTAAAGAGATTTCTTTTTTAAGAGATTGAAGTGGGGAGCTTGCCCTAGACTTGGAGCTGGCACGTTAGGTGTGTGGGGTGGGATGTAGGGCTATCAGGACTGCAGACTCCCTCCCCTTAACTTCCTTACCTCTATTGAAGACCCATGTTGTGCTGCCACCCAGCACCAAACTGCTAATTTCTTTGCAGTATAGAATCGTGACTAGGATATACAGCATTCTTGGTTTAGTTTATGTGATCTGAAAATATCTTTTATTCCTGCCTCATCAAATTGTCCAAATCCTGTCTTTTGTAAAAGGGTAGTGTAGTAGGTCAGCAAAATCAGGGGGCCTTCCAAAGAATTTTGTTTGGTTCTTTGGCAAATGCCTGGGGCTTAGGGGGTTAAACTGAAAATCTCTTTCAAACAGTTGTACATTAAACAGTCACAGATTGGTGTTTGTTAAGCATCAGAAACTTTTTTTCTTCCCAGTATTGGGGATTGAACCCAAGGTTTTCACACTGAACTACATCCCCAGTCCTTTTTAAATGTTGAGACCCGGTCTCACTAAATTGCTCAGGCTGGGCTTAAATTTGTAATCCTGGTGCAGCCCTTCAGAGTGCGAGATTATAGGCATGTGTCACTGTGCCCAGCCAGAAATGATTGTAAGAAACAATAAGAATTGGTCAGCATATTAGATTGGGTGAAAATGTACTTCCAATTACTGGGGCTGCAGGTAGTCCTTAAAAGGGCTAAAAGAATGGAGCAAAATAATTCTCTTTAGGAAACTGTTGCATACGATGTTTTGTAAGTGAGTTAATTTGATATTTGTTCATAGAATTTCTTTATACCTTTTGTTACAGTAACTTATGAATGTCATAGGTTGGAGCTTAGATCACAAAACTGCCTTGGTTATTTGTAAATACTAAGCTGTATATAATGAATATTATTCACATATGAAAACCTTTGCTATATAAATAAGTATTTTGGATCAGGGTGAAGTAGTTGAGTGAGCAGGTATATCTAACCAAAGAGAATGGAGCATAATCTAGTGAATCTGGTAAAGATGTGTTCTGTCAGTCTGATATTTTGGGCCCCAATATCAGGAATTTTACACAGGTACTGCCCAGTGCCTCAGGTATCTGTGTCTTCCACTGTTCTGGGGAGAATTTGGGGGTGAGAGGAAAGAGAACTTGCCAGTCCCGTAGATGTGACAGTCTTGTAACTCCAGATCAGTATTTAAATGTCGCTCCAGGGAGGAGTTGAGTTGTTGAAAATTGTGCAGTGAGGAACCCAGGGAAGTGGCAGGGGACAGAGATGCCAAGAGGATACAGATGACAGAAGCTACACTCATAGAAAGAAGTGGGCAGGATTCCAGAAGTGGGCAGCCTTCCAAAAGTGGTTTGCCCAGCAGTTTTTTTATTTACTGGTTTATGGACTTCTTAGGCAAGGATGTATTTTAATGGAGTCACTTTGGAAGAAAATTTGCATGGCCGTGATGCTAAGTCTTGGACTTGATGAAACCTCTGCCGAGTCATAATGGCTTTTCATTTTATTTTTTTGTGAGAGCCAAAGACTATCAGTGAGGGTGCTGTCTGAGAATAAAGGCAGACATTCAAGCTTGGTCTGTGAGGGCAGCTTGGGCAAGGCAAGGGATCTGCATCATTGACATCACCGACATGGAGTACGCAGGCTGCCCTTGGTTATCCAAGCAAGTAGAGTTCAGGCAGTAGGTTCTAATGGTGGTAAAGTGGGGGTTCTGGAGCCGTACTACTTAAATGTAGATATAGGTTCTACCTCTCAATCGCTGAGTGTAATCATGTCCAAGATAAACTTCTGCCCCACAATTTTCTCATATGTAGAGTGAGAATAAGGGTAATGCCACCTTATGTGGTTGTATTGGAGCTTGAATGTGGTTAATACCTACAACTTCCAATAAGTATTTGATGATAATGACGGTCATTAAAAAGGGTGTGGCAGTCAGGAGAAAGTGTACAGTGTGCAGTTAGGCAGAGGTACTTGCCTCCTCTGCCCAGCAAAGTTCTCTCTGAACCAAGCCACAAGTGGACAAGTCCCCACCCAAATAAATGACTGGTCTGTTCTCCCTCATCTTTTACAACATTGCTCTGAATCATGGCTGACCTTGAAACAGTTAACCTGCCCTGTCTGCATCCATCTTCCTGGCCATGATTGTGGAGTCTCAAGAGGCAGGTATGGTATGTTTTATGCACAGTCCTAGAGTCATAGAAGATCTAGGCCTCCTGTAATAGACTAGGACTGAAAGTTTTGCACTGGATTTTTCTTACACAGAAGTGAGGTTCTTCTGACAAGTGGCAAGAAGAGACTGTTGTAGAGACTCCTAGGTTTCTGCATGTATGGTGGGGATCTCTCTGGAGTCGAGCCTCTAGGTTAGGTGCCTCTGGGTTCTTTTGCTCTGTGTACAGATTTAGCCTCAGAAAGACTCAAGCATAGTTTTCAGTTTGCTGAATTTGAAAAGTCACAGAGCTTTTTCTTGCTGTAGTGTCCCCTAGTGAGGGGTGTACATAGCTGCATAGGTGTGCTGTGAACAGAGGCTTGGTTGATGGTTGCTGGGAGACTTGGCAGGGGTGAAGAATCATTATAATTCCCCTTCTGTTAAGAATCCCATTGAACTGGCTTGCTGGGTGGTTTAAATTGAGGAAGTGCTAGGCAGAAGCAGCTAGCATACAGATCTGTCCAGACTATTAGTTTAGGATTTTTTCCCCCTCCAAAAAGACATACATACATTGCCAGGAAAAGCTAACAAAAATTTCAAGGCAGATTTGGAAGAATTAAATTATTCTTAGGCATATTGCCTGGTTTCCAAGCATTTAGGGATATGTAAATTTCCGTGTTCTTTAGAGCTCTGTGTCTCTTTTGTACAGAGTACATTAGTACTAAAAATGAGATTTGCTAGCTCTACATTTTTGTGTGAATTTATGCAAGGAATATTTAATTTGATTTTGGATCTTTCAGAAGGGGAGGCTTTCTTCAGACAGATAATATAGCTTATTTTTTTTCATATGCTCCGCTGGCTGCATTAATTTTTTTTCTCTGATGACTGAAATGCAAAGTAGAGTACCCAAATTAATATTCTCTATACACAAAGACTTTCAGTGTTTGTTTTTGCTTCCTTTAATATGTATCTCTCCTAAGAGTGCTATTGTATTACAGCTAAGAGGCTTTAACCATGTAATGTTGAATACTTTACACTTCTGAATGCCAACATAACAATTAGTCTGTGATTAAATTTGGCTTCTTCTGTTGCCTACACTGAAGAGTACCTATAATATTAAACTTCTGAAGTGTTTCACTCTTCAAAACTTATAAAAGCTCTCTTTGACATAGCACCCTGAAATTGTGTGGCTCTTGTTTTTATTGCTTTATTGTGCTTCCAATTTAACTGAAGTCTTTTGGTTGCGTTTACACTTTATAATAAAGATAATGGTGGGAAATGAATGATGTGCAAAGTGTGTGTCATGCGTCCTATCAGCTGCACACTTGGGCTTCTCCACACTCTCTCTGCCTTATGGAGTCTTTGACTCCAGTGGTGTGCTTCCTCTGTGCTTAAAAACAAAAAGAAAAACACTTTCCTTACCCACCTCCCCTCCAGTAAGGTAACTTTAGTGAGTACTCTACAGCAACTATAGTCACTTCCTCTGATTTCTTAACTCCTGGAAATCTTGTGACTGTCCTCACTACCAGACTTGAATCTGCTTTCTCAGAAAGTCAGTGATGATTCCACAATGAGCAGAACTCAGGTTTGCTAGCCTTGACTTGGTCTCCCCCGTGTGGATGCTTACACAGGACTTACTCACTTGTAGGCATCACCTGTTGCTCCCTGATACCTCTTGTCCTGTGTTTCTGGGACAGGGCATTGCCTTTGGTCCTTGACTTTCTCATTTGGGTTCATCAAACCTCAATGTGTGATCCTTGGATGATTTTTAAACTTTTTTTCTTTTGATGAGCTTTCATATTTCATTGAATTCAGCTTTGCCTTATTTACAGATTGTTACCAAATCCCTGTGTCCCTTGTCCTGAATCACAGCCCAGGTTTTAACCAGCCACTAGTACCCCAGCAAGTGGAGGCCTGCTTCACTGTAAGTCCATTGAGTCTCCTGGCTTCCCTTTGCCTGGTATTGACACAATATTCTTTGCAGTAATAGTAATGCAGGATCAGAGGATCAGACACCCTTTGCCTCTCTCCCTCTCCCTCTCTCTCTCTGCTCCCATTTAAGCATTTGCCACCTCCCACACATTCTCCCCTGGGATACCTCTTCAGCCCTTTCCTTTCCATTCCTGCTACCACTTCCTCCCAGGTTCATGCCCTCTTGGCCACTTGTCCAGACTGCTGCAACACACTTTTCTTTACTTTCTTCACCTCTTTTCTTGCCCCAAACCAGTGCCTCCATGCATCGTGGTAAGTTAGATTGAGATTCCCCAGGTGCAGCTCCAGTCCCCTGTTGCCCTTTCTCCCTGCCCTTCCAGAGGTCCACATTGTGGACTGGATCATCCACACACTCAACGGGCATGTGTGGTGTCAGATGGCTCCTACCTGTCTTTCCAGCCCAGGTCTGCTGTTCCCTCTTTGGCTTCAGAGGGATCGAACTGCCTGTTCTAGCTCTTCCCAGAATGTAACATTTAATGTTTACTCACCTCTGTACCTAGGATCATGCCACAAATTCCACTCTTGTCTTCATATTATTACAATTAGATGTGACATCTCCCTCACTTGATCCCCATAGCATTTAGTGTGTGCTCTGTTACAGCTTTGACCTAATGTTTTGGTTCCTTTTGTACTAGTCTTATCTCTGAGACTTTGCCACAGGCCAACGTCCCTCCTCCCATCCCGCCCCATGTTCTTAGAAGGCAAGGACTGTCTTACTAATCTTAGTGGTGTGTGCTCTCATGCAGCCCCACACTGGCCTGTGCAAGTCTGCTAAATTGATTAAATACTTGGTCAATGGAAGTAGAAATTCAGATTCACACAGATGGCAAAGTGTGATGTTCGTTTATAAGTCTTGTTTTTCCCTTGCTAGGTGAAGCTGAGTGTGGAGTGCAACAGTAAAATCAGACAACAGATGGACAGTGTGACAAGAACATCAGAGAGGATTGGGCCTCGTCGTGAGAGACAGCCTGGAGTCGGTGTGTTGGCAAGTTACTGAGAAGAAAACCAGGGGGACTGTGGCACACCAAGGAAGCAGAGCCTGTCTGCAGTCACACCATTGATGGAGGACAGATGGACAGCCGGATGGCCAATCAGCTCTCCTCTTAAGCCTTGGGAGAGTGGACCTGTGTCCTCCACTGGACACCTATTAGGAATTCTAACACACTCTCTGAACTCTCTTTCTGTCAGAGTGCAAACTTAGACTGCGGTGTTCCATCTGACTCATCCATTGCATGGTAACATCTGCAAACATGAGTGCTGAGGGCTACCAGTACAGAGCATTGTATGATTATAAAAAGGAAAGAGAGGAAGACATCGACCTACACTTGGGAGACATACTAACTGTGAACAAAGGGTCCTTGGTTGCACATGGATTCAGTGATGGACAGGAAGCCCGGCCAGAAGAAATTGGCTGGTTAAATGGCTATAATGAAACCACTGGGGAGAGGGGGGACTTCCCGGGGACTTATGTGGAATATATTGGAAGGAAAAAGATCTCACCTCCCACTCCAAAGCCCAGGCCACCTCGACCCCTTCCTGTTGCACCAGGTTCTTCAAAAACTGAAGCAGACATTGAGCAACAAGGTCAGCATTGATGAAGCATTACTTAATGACTTTTCTTCCTTGCTCTCTCTCTCTCTCTTTCTCTCTCTCTGCCTGTCTCGGTAAAGTCTTAGGTTTGGGCTGGGGTGCTATTGTCTGGGCAGGAGTTATCTTGGCATCCTATATGGTGCATAAAACCTGGGTTGAACAGTACAAGGCTAGAAGTTTATTTTTGTGGGGTTAGGAGTTGCTATAAAACTAGGGAGATGGTATCTGAGAACCTGATTAGTGAGTAACTTTAAGCACTATTATTACAGTTGCCACTGAATTAAATGCCTATTGCATTCTTATTTTTATAATTGATATATCTAATCACTTTGGGGAAGTAGAGGGTAAGTCTAATGCAAGCAAGTGTATTTAGTATAAATACAATTTGAGCGGAAAAATGTAGAGGGTAATAAAACGACCACAGAACACAACAGAGAAGAAGTCATTGTTTTTCTAACCTGGTGTCTACCTCTTGGTTTCCTCTCCAGGACCACTTGGCTTAAGCTAAAATGTGGTCCTGAGTTAGCATAAAAGTAAGGGGTTTTTCTTCCATCATCATAGTGTCACTTGTAGCATTAATACCTGTGGTCTACTTGGCTATCCTGAGTGGAAAATACAATCCACTAGATACTTTTCTTCAGTGGAAACCTCCTCTACTCAAAGCCCACTCACTGTTCACTGGAAACATCCACACTTGCAGCTTGGCGCACAGCTGTTCATATATGAATTTTGTTCTGTTCGGTGTCTCACTGAGACAAGAGTTATGGTTGGCCTTACTCTTATCAGCCTTGTCAAATACTGGTTTTCCCACTAGCAAATCCCAAGCTTTTTATTTTTTTCTTTCTTGTGTAGTCTTTTTTTTCCGCAGAGACAGAGAAAGGAATGGGAACATATATTTAAAACAGATGCAGCTAACTTGCACTGATTAGCTACTAAGTAGACCTGACTCAATATTGCTGAAGATCTCTGGAGGCAATTCTGATACTGCTAGTGTTGTAGTATCTTTATTTTTTATCTATTTATTTATTCTTTACATAGTCAGTGATCTGCATTTATCACTGGCTCTTTGTAATTTTCTTAGGATTCCTAAATTTCTTTTTATTTTATTTATTTGCTACCAGGGATCGAACTGGGGACCTTGTGCTTGCCAGGCAGGCGCTGGAATCACTGAGCTAAATCCCCAGCCCTATCTATTTATTTATTTACCGGGGATCAAACTCAGGACCTTGTGCTTGCCAGGCAGGTGCGGTGCCACTGAGCTAAATCCCTGGCCCAGAAACTGCTTTTTAACACTGGGAATAGGATTGGGACTATTGTTGAAATGTGAAGGAATTTACTAAAAATACACTTGAAGAGAAGCCCTTTCTTCCCTACTAGATCCTAAAATGAATGTTGTATTATATTTTATAATTACTCAAGTCTACTCATAACTTTTACTATACTATAGTTAAAAAGCAAGTTTTTTTCAAAAACTTTGTCTGCACCTACTTGTGTAATTTTGCATTTCTTTTATCATTTCACTTAGCAGATTGAATATAAATATATTAACTTTACTTCACCAAATTATAAATTTGTAATTTGGCTCTTTTTGAAAGTTAGAAACACTTCCTTAAGTAGGCTCATTCCGAAGGAAAAATGACTTAATTTGTCCCAAAATACAAAGAGTTACAGAATCATAAAAATATCTCAGTTGAATTAGAAGAGATTATTAAAAGTGTAATAAGGTTATCTTCTCAAGATTATGACAAAAAGATTTTGTAAAAATGGTTTCTAAACAAAATTGCATTTGGTAACTGCCATCAGGTATAAGTTTACTTGGATGTAATATTCAGGAAAGTCCAAATGTAGGACTTTATAGGAAAAATGATTTTTTCTTTTTAGATGCCAAATTATTTTACGTTTTCTTTCTTAGTAATGTGACAGTTGAGACTTTTTAACAGCCTGTTCATTTTTCTTTTTAGTACATGGGAAGATAGAGTAAAATGAAAATTTTTAGCAGGATTCAAGAAAGAGGTCCGTGATAATGTGCTCAAAAGTATTTAGAAAGAGAAAGCCTAAATATAAATGAAAAATTAGGAGTGATTGAAAGGTTGTAAAGTCAATGTAGGGAACTGAGGAGGAGAGTATTACCCTAAACATTAACATGAAGTGAGAATTCCTATGAAGTGAGAATTCAGTAGCTCCCACTAGTCCCATGTTCAAGTGGTAGGGACAGTAGTTGTAAGGATAAATTGTGTGTGTTGGAACCTGTGAGACTGATTTCCTTTGCCTATGTACATTTTCATGTGCAGTTTTTCAGTTTAAAACTGTAAGATGGCAAGAAAGGTTCATTCTTTTCTTCTCTTATATAATCAAGTCCTTTTGTCCTTTTTTGTTTTTTACCTTTTTACTCTTCCACCTGAGTTAGGCTGTTTTTTGTGTCTGACTGTCTTTTATTTAGAAAGTAAAACCCCAAGGTCTAAGAGCTATATCCAGTTCTGTCTTGTGGACTCCTGACACACACACACACACACACACCACACTGGGCAAGAGTGTGCTCAGACTAGTATGCAAGCTAACTACATTTCCCTGTATCTTGCTGAGCCTTAGAATCCTCTCCATTTCCTCTGAGACAGTCTTACTGTGTTCCCCACGCTGGTCTCGAACTCCTGGGCTCAAGCTGTCCTCCTGGCTCAGTCCCAGTAGCTGGGACTACAGGTAAGCCCCATCACACCCTTCTATCTGTTTTTAAAAGAAAGCCATCGTTAGACTCTAGCCAGAAGTAGACTCTCTCTGAGAGGTTCCACCCCACATAAGACAATCCATTCTTCCTTCCTTCCTTGAACCATATATTCCTGGAAAGAAAGCTGTGAAGTGTAACTCAAAGTAAAAAAACCCATGTGAAATCTAATAACCAACTCTTAGGAAAATACACTTTTCTGCTGTTACATTTTGGATGCAATCGTTTAGGAAGTCCTGGCCTATAGATCGAATGAATTTGTTTATTGGAAATTGTGGATTTGGGGGCCTCAAATTCATTCAGCAAACTGAGCTACTATTTTGTGCTAGAAGGCAAGGATAAAAGATGCAATCAAGATGTCCCCTCTTGGCTCTCCCCCTCTGAATGGCTGTGTTTTGTCCCCTCTGCCTGGCTGGCTCTTTCCCAGACAACCCTTGCTGACCCACTCTCTCCTTCTAGCCCCAGTCTCTGTCATGCCAGCTGGCCCCCCAACCCAGTTTCATGCTGAAACTTGCCCCTTTACTTCTGCATTTACTAGCTAACCTTTGCAATTTCATCTCTTCTCCAGGGTGGGTTGCAGGCTTCCTGTGGGCAGGGCTTTTTATGGTTTCTCATTATCCCAAGTCTCTAGAACAGTGGAGTAGAGCCCCAGAAAGTTGGCAGAGGCATCCGGTCGAAGCTCATCCTCCAGCAGTGTCACAGTGCACCTGGCTTTTGAAATTAGCCACATGCCTTGTATGTCACATGCAGGTATACAGGGCTTAATAGCCTATCCTGCTTTGGGAGACCAGGGCTTAATTGCCATGTGCGATATTCACATCCAAGCATCCTGTGCCCTTGGCCTTAACCGTGGACACTTACCTTCTACCCCCAAAGGGATAGCTCGGGGACAGGTAGTTCTGGTCGCAAAGTGAGTTAGACAGACGGTGCCTTTAGCTACACAAGTCGGGTGAGTGGAAGGTGTGTCATGATTGGCAAGCATCCTGTGGCACAAACTGGCCTGGTTCTCTCTTTCTTTTTATTTCCTTCCCTTTACATGGGAGGTAAAATCACCACTAGGAGAATCACATGTTATTTTGTTTCTCCACAACCAAGGAAAGCCCTGATTGGTCTTTGGAGAGGACATCTTCCCTGTTCTGTCCAGGAGAAGAGTGTGAGGGTGTACCAGGTGTATGTCGTCGTGGCTCTGAGCTCAGCTGTTTGAGTGCTGGCTCTTGACTGTCCTGCACACAACCCTGTTTAGCTGGGGCCCTGTATCTCCTCTTTCACACAAGGAAAAGAATCAATTGGAAATGAGGCTTCAAAGATATGGGCATAAAAATATATGCTTCTCATATGTGAGCTACCTCATGGAACCATCGTTTCTCTAGGTAGCCATTTTAACACATCCTTTAAGATGCTTTCATTAAAGTCATCCTGATGCAGAATATGTAGGCTAGTGAGAGTTGATGACTGTGTTAGTTTGTGTAAAGCAGTGAAATCTGCTAACTTGAAAGATCACCAGTGAGGTGGAGTTCACGTCTTCCCCATTCACGGCCCACCCTTCCTGGCTTCCCTCATCGGACTCTTGACAGTGGGTCCCAGCTGGTTTCACAGAGAAAGCAAATAGCACTATTTTGCCTTGGTCTACATTTCGATTAGAATCCCTTCTAAACAGAAAAGGAAAATAGCTTGCAATTGGTGTTTGTTTTCATGGTTTCCCAAGCTGTATTTTTTTTACATTTTTCACACTCAGTATTTAAGCGTCCCTCCAGGGTTGTCACTCCATGTCTAGAAAGCAAGGCTGTCATAAATCACATAAATCGACTTAACACTGTACAGAGGGCACAGAAAGTAGTGACCCAGTCCCAAATTACACACCTTGGCCAAGCGTCGTGGTCATAACACATGAATCTTGCCTTGAGAAAACTGGAGTAATGCAAATAATTTGCCTTGCTTCATGAATTACTTTATGAATTGTGTTCTATTTCAGAATGTTTTCTCTTCACTTTCTCTGCCTTTCCTCTTACTGAAATGCGGCTTCACCGTGAAGTCAGCAGATGTCTGGCTAAGTGTTCTGACTTGTGGTGCTGACTGCCCCTTCAGCAGTCTCTGACCACTCTGCCCTTGTGAGAAGCAGAGCCAGATACAGGATCTTTGAAAATAGGACTCTTGAGCTCTGTCTCTAACTTCTCACCAACCACCAAAGTCCATCAGTGCTCTGCGAGTGTTTTACCTAGGCCTAAAAATTTAAGTGTTAGCTTTCTGTGTTTTAGTAGGAAATAAAATATATATT